CAGATCCTCTAGGAGGAGGAAAGCCAACTGCTCACAACATTCATGACGCCGTTTGGGAGGTATGTGTTCTGTCGCGTTCCTTTCGGTATTACTACGGCGCCAGACATCTTCCAGCAAAAAATTACCGAGTTACTTCATGGCTTGGAGGGAGTAGAGGTCATAATGGATGATATCTTGGTTCATGGCCGATCAATGGAAGAGCATGAAAGGAGGCTAACTGAAGTTCTGACGAGACTTCAGGAAGCAGGTCTTCGTTTAAACCGAGAGAAATGCCAGTTTAGGATGAAAGAATTGGTTTACTTTGGTGACCTTATCGGTGCTGAAGGTATCAAGCCAGACCCAGAGAAGGTACGGGCAATGATGGATCTGACTCCACCATCCAATGTCAGGGAACTTCGTAGCTTGATTGGAATGTTCCAATACCTAGGCAAGTTTGCAAACAACCTGTCTTCGGTTATGAAGCCCATGACAGATCTGCTGAGGTCTGACAGTGTCTGGTTATGGGAGCCAAGTTAACAAGGTGCCTTCCAAGAAACCAAACAGCTACTATGCGCTTCTCCAACACTAGCATACTATGATGCGGAAAAGCCAACGATCATAAGTGCTGATGCTAGCAGTTTAGGGATAAGGGCCGTACTCCTACAGAAAGATGAAGAAGGCTTAAAACCAGTGGCATTCTGCTCAAGAACACTCTCAAGCGCTGAGCAGCGTTACGCTCAAATTGAGAAGGAATGTCTGGCGGCAGTATGGGCATGCGAAAAACTGTCTAGGTATCTGGTGGGATCACCACAGTTTACTCTACTAACCGACCACAAGCCATTGGTGCCTCTACTAAACACCAAGAACATTGATGAAACACCAATTCGCTGTCAGCGTCTTTTGCTACAAATGATGCGGTTCAATCCTGTTGTTCAATTTGTGCCGGGTAAAGAACAGATAGTGGCAGATGCACTATCCAGAAATCCTCTAGCTATTACAGAGGATAGTGTCCAGCTGATCCAAGATGTCAGTGATTATGTGGACACAGTTCAAGTAGGTTGGCCAGCGTCACCTAACAAATTGGAACAGATCATGGAGGCTACAGAGAAGGACGATGTCCTGCATGCAGTAATGCGTTATGTCATAAACGGGTGGCCAAATAGAGTGAGCGTAGTGCCGGAGCATTTGAGGCACTATTACCATGCACGCTCAGAGCTATCGGTGACAAATGGAATAGTTGTTCTACAGAGTAGAATAGTTCTGCCTAGAGCAATGAGGCATGATGCTTTAGAACGACTACATGAATCACACCAAGGCATCTCGAAGTGCCGTGAAAGAGCCAGGACAGCCATATAGGGGCCGAACATGAGCAACGACATTAAAAACATGGTCGATCAATGTGTGGACTGTTGACAGAGCAGACATCACAGCGAGAACAATCCCTGCAGCCAATAGAGTTGCCGGGACGGCCATAGCAGCAGTTGGGGACGGATCTACTGGAATTCAACAAGCAGACATGTCTGGTAGTGGTAGACTATTACTCTCGTTGGATCGAAGTGAAGAGGCTGACATGTCTGACCAGCTCTGCGGTAATTACAAGAATGAAAGCAATGTTTACGGCTTTCGGTATCCCAGATGTAGTAATATCAGATAATGGGCCGCAATATACCTCTCACGAATTCCGTCAGTTTGCTAAGGTGTGGGGATTCACTCACAAAACGACCAACCCATACACACCACAAGAGAATGGGATGGCTGAACGCGCCGTGCAGACGGCTAAACACTTACTGAAGCTGGATGATCCAGAGATTGGATTGTTGAACTATAAAGCAACTGCGCATTCAGCTACGGGTGTGTCTCCATCAATGGCACTACAGGGACAAGAGCTCCGGACCAGACTTCCGATACTGGAGCAAAATCTACTGCCAAAGGTTCCGGATACCAGCACCATCCGTCAGTCCGACGAATCAGCTAAAGCCACCTACAAGAGGTGTTATGATGCCAGGAAAGGTGCTCGAATACTACCTCACCTGTCAAGTGGCCAGTCTGCACTGACAAAGCTGGACACGGAGAAGCGGTGGACCAAGTGGGAAACAGTTATCGGTGGTGACGAAAACAACCAATCCTACATCCTTCAGACGAATGCTGGAATTCATCGTCGGAACCGTAAACATATACAAGATACCCAAGTAACACCTAGTGGGCAGAATTCTACGCCACCTCCAGCCACACAGCAAGGCATAGTTGTGCCGGCAGCAGAGGAACCGGTTGTTCTTGAACAACCTTTACGCAACATTGCGCCAGGCAACAATGGTCCCGAGTCGAAGGAAGATGCAGATACAGCTTCGCCATCTGATGTCAAGCAACAACCTATGGTACCAGTGACCTTCACATCGAGTGGCCGGGCAGTGCGTCTACCTCACCGTTTCAGAGACTACAAGTGTTAGTTTAAGGCGACTAAGATCCGCTAAGGGCAGAATAATCCCTGGATCTGAAGTCCAGACAGTGGGCAGTCTACCCTACTGTCTGAATTAGTGTTAAGTGTCGTTTGGTTAGCATTGTTGAAAAGTTAATCTTTTGTCATTCAAAGACATTCATGCTATAGAATAAGATGTTTATCTCAAAGGAAAGGAGATGTCATAATGATTAATGACGGTAGCGCCCTGTAGGAGAGTTGTCTATCTTTTAGTTAGATATTTGAGAGCCAGGGGGAGCTACGGGAGTTCGGCATGGCGGATTGTAATCTCGTGTTCTGCTCAGCTACGTTTGCTAAACAAAACGAATCTACATGAAGTTAAATCTCTTGTTTGGGTTTACACAATCATAATATTATGCACAAATAAAACATTTTGAATCTTGAATCTTGAATCTTTACGTCATTTTATGTCTAGTAATTAACAATTTTAAATAAACTCCTTTATTGTCATCGTTATGCACACATGTGTTATGATCATATGATGCCATTTTGTCGAATCCAAAACCTAAAGACCTATCTATATATAAATATGACGAGAACCTCTTCCTTATTAAGCTTTTCTGAAACCGATTCAGCTGTTTAAAGCTTTTTTCATCAATGTTCTACATAGCCATCAGGTAGAAAACTCAACCTAGTTAAAAACGCAGGCCAGTAACAGATAATTATCTGTTACTGGCCTGCTTTTTTAACCAGGTTAAGCTTTTTAACTTTGCGACAAACCGCGGTTTATCGTGCATTTGCGTGTGCGTATACGCAGTACGTCTGGTCACACTGGTATAAAAGCTGATGTAAGTCTATATGTCAATCATCTATGGAAGGATGATGTTAGTATAGCTGTGGAGTCAGGTTGTGCTACGACGTACTCCGAAAATTTATAACGGTGTTGGTCGCTATGGAAACGTGTCTATTTAGAAGAGATCGCGGCTGGGCCTGGCTGGTACTGTTCACTGCGACCATCAACCAAATCTTAACCTACGGTTTCGCAATAGTACTCAGTGTCTACTATGTACCTTGGATAGAGACTTTCGGCACGAGTGGATCAGTGACGGCTTGGGTAGGTTCTGTCAATGTGGGTGATGTCATTTTTCGTAGGTAAGTGACTCAACTGTTTCCCTTCCTCGGTCATTCAGAATAAAACATTAGTAGCTTCACGTTAATGAAAGAATCATTATTGATTAATGAGCTAATCAGTCGTGCAGGTACACAAGTATACATTGCTTATAAACAATTAATGCTAGGTAAATTTGTTATCCTCTTATGCCACCGAAGAGCGATGTCATTATGGGACATTGCTTTATTGGTCTACAGCTTGCACTTGCCTCCCTGTCGGCCATCTTTAGAAGCTGGTTGAAGCCCTAGGCACAGCGTAGCGTATGGGTGGGATATGACAGCGTGCCTTCAAATTCAAATAAATTTTATTGCTCAAATATCTCACAGATAAATTGGAGAAATAATTATAACAATAAATATACACGTACTGCGATAATGCATGAATAACTAGATGAATAGAAATAATAGTGATAACACATTGAAAGTTGATAATATATATCAAAATAGAGAATGTATGTTGTGCCTTCAACAGATGGTTAGCCAACTGCAAGTCACATCTATAAGGGCGCCAACACATAGTCCTGCGGCGGCGTGTATACACGAGTGCACGCTAAATCCACCTGAATATATATAAAGTCACCAACAAATCAGAAATCCTAACATATTCATGAACAAACAACTTACTGATAATTATCGGCGATGCGGGTTTAAAATAGTAAAAGTTTCCACTTAATGACGCCATTTTTTCTACTGTTATAGACAAGTCTGTGATAGAATGTTTTTATAGAGCCCGTGTATAATATCGCCACAAGCTGCTGTACACGTTGAAATGCATATCATATTACATGGCAATCCATGTTGTTTATTACACACACACACACACACACACATATATATATATATATATATATATATATATATATATACACCTTTTATTCTTCTAAATGATCTAATCCAGGGTTACGGACAGGTATACGTTTCCCTCGTCATTGCCGCCAAGAGAACATGTACTGTCACATCCTTAGCCGCTCCAAAAATGACAGACACGAAACACCAATCCACCATACTGATAAGCGCAAACGCTGGCTGCCCATGTTCAATAGCAAATAGCAAAACACATCATCGTGTTAAGTGGAAGTCCGCGCTACGTCCGCAAATCTGTCCGATGTGTATCAGAGCGGTGAATGTTTCGGATTTAGGATTGGTGGATGGATGCCTGGCCATGTTCAGGTGGTTTTTCCGTGCACTCAACGTGTATGTATAAGGAGACACCCTAATGTATACAGCTCGCACTTGACTCCCATTTTTAGAAGACAGATGTTATAGTGGCCGTGAAGTCAGACTGTGCTACGACACAATCCGTATATGTACAGGTCTTGATCGCTATGGCGACGCGTCTATTAGAAGAGACCGCGGCTGGGCCTGGCTGGTACTGTTCGCTGCGACCATCAACCAATCCTTAACACTGGTTTCGCAATAGTACTCAGTGTCTACTATGTACCTTGATGGAGACTTCCGCACGAACAGATCAGTGACGGCTTGGTTGGTTCCGTGCACGTTGGGATGAATTTCTTTGCAGGTGAGTTGCTCAGCCGTTCTCCTCTCTCGGTCATTCATAATGGAATATTAGCTTCACGTTGATTAAAGAATCTTTTTTTCATTTAGCTAATTAGCCGTGTACAAAATAGACAGTATTACTAAGTAATTAATATGATATATATATATATATATATATATAGTCCTAATATGATATATATCATATCCTCTTATGCAACAGAATACCTTGTACGTACAGTGTCATTATGGAACATTGCATTGATCATATTTCAGGGCCTCTAGCAACTGTTATTGCCGGCCGATTCGGGATACAAAAACTGTTATTGCAGCGTATGTGGTCGCTGCATTTGCCTGTGCAGGTGGTGCCTTCGCGCCTAATATTTCTACTTTGATCATCTCGTGCGGAGTTATCGCAGGTAAAATTGGTTTATTTATTTATTTTTATTTTTAGAGTGCGGCCAAATTAAATAATTTAGAAGCTCTCAACGTTTTGGCAAAAACGTTATATGACTAACAATATAAGATGTATATAAACAAATTTAATAAACAATATGGATTGCCATGCAATATACCAGTTTAACTTGTATTGTATTGCAGGAGCTTGTGGCGGTATTACATTTGTAGCTGGTGTGGCTATAATCGGAGAGTACTTCGAGATATGGCAAGGAATGGCATTCGCAATTGCATCCACTGGAATTGGAATAGCTCCATTGATGCTTGCCCCTCTCCAGCAATACCTAATCGATGTGTACACGTGGAGAGGAGCTCTGTTCATCAGTGCCGGAGTGCTACTGAACGGCTGCGTAGTCGGAGCCATCATGAGGGACCCACCAACTGATCATAAAACCTTGTCTGCTAAGGAACTATTACAAGCCTCGTGTAACAAATATCAGTTGAATGACATTATTTATATAATTTTCTGCATTTTTAATTTCATGCACATGTTTGGAGTAAGTGCATCGCTGGTATTACTCTACGATCACTTAGAATCTCAGAGTTACACCCCAGAGCGAGCTTCGTGGTCGTTCACAATGTGGGGAATTTTGAACATCTGTGGAAAGTTGTTCACTGGCGTTCTCATTCACACGAAGCAAGTGTCCCAGTGCAGTGTTCACGTGTTATACACCGCACAAGCTATGTTAGGAGCATTTTTTATTCTCCTGGCTTTACCTGGTCAAGTCTACCTTTACTATGACGTAATTTTGAGTTTTTACGGATTTGTCGTTGGAATGACTGCAGCGGCATGGCCCACAGTCTGTGTTGACTTGTTTGGTCAGAAGAAGCTCATGGCTACAATGGGATGGCTTCTACTATGCCAAGGCGCTGGATGTACCATAGGAGCTCCTATTGGAGGTGTGTTGATGTATGGCATACGTGCGTCAGTTTAACACGAGCATTCGAAACGCGCGCATTTCACGTAGCAAGTATAAAATATAGTTGGTTATCACCTATAACGTACTAGCTAAAAAGCGATGTATATATATATATTCCAGTTCTGAACAACTATTTCTATCTATCTTTAGAGAATTTCGGTTATTTGCAAGATTTTTGCATGAATATGTAAATGACAAGTATATATATCTACTTTTTTGCTTCTCAGGTCGCCTAAACGACGCTTTCCAAACAACGTCGGCAGCATATTACATGGCCGGATGTGTGAGTGTCATCAGCAGCCTGTTCGTACTCGTGCTGCTACCTATCGGGAGACATAACCTAGAGAAAGAAAGACGCAGACGATACGTCACCGTGACGTCAGAATCAAGTCAGTTCCAGGTACCAAACGTAGGAAACTGTTAGGTGTAACTATTTGTAAATTTATTTATTGGCAAATAAGTAAAACATTTGTTTCCGCGTAAACATGCGGCATAAATTCACAACTCGGTAGACATGTGATAGTTGCATAAATACCGTTATTCAGTTCATATTTAAAACCTAAAGTTTAAATGAAAAATTATTATTCGTTTCAGGAAGAAATAATAGTATAGTGAGGCTGAGACTTGCGTCGTACTGGAGTCAAAAGATGGCTACCAACGGGTATCTCTAGACGCTGCCACTCCATCGTAGACTGTCAATCTTATATACACTGCAGTCTGTACGTTGATATTTGTTCTGAAATATTAATCCTAATTCGGTNCGCTCTCTCTCTCTTCTCGTCTCGTCTCTCTCATCTCTCTCTCTTCTCTCTCTCTCTGTTCTTCCATCGGCGCTGCTCTCTCGCTCGCTCTCATCGCTCGCCCTTCTCTCTCTTCTCTCTCTCTCTCTCTCTCTCTCGTTCGCCTCTTCTCTCTCTCTATGTGTGTGTGCCCTGTGGCTGTGTGTGTGTGTGTGCTGTGTCGTGTGTGTGGGTGTGTGTGTGTGGTGCTGTGCGGGCGGTCGCCGGTGTGTGTGTATGTGCTGGTGTTATGTGGCTATCTGTAGTATTTTATATCTTTCTTCTCCAATCGATTAGTTAGAATAAATAGTCCAGACGGAAGTTAAATAGTGCAATACTGCAGTGTAGCCTATAACCAACAGTCCATTGTTGCAACAGTAACGCCCTCGTTGACGCGGACCGCTCATTCGATTATTTATGAATCTTTAAACGCTTCGGTCTGCGGTTGCAGTTCAATTATCGTCTTTCTGACAACCAAAATATGTGATAACACAGTGTGTCTATACATCATATTTTTTCAAAGGTCTTACATGAGACGCTGCATTAAATTGAACGATTATTGTTCCCCCTATGTGTGGAATTTATTTACAATATTTTATACACTATTTCCTTATAGTAGATATTGCCACCAAACAGTTCTCCTATCCCGCTTCCGGTACCTGGAACTAAGCGCTTACTTCTGACTGAGTCACGAACGCTGCCGTATAGTCTGCGTCTTTCTTGTTCTGCTTAGGTATTGTCTCCCGGATAGGCTAGCAGCCACAAGGTACGAACAGGCTGCTGATGACACTTCACACATCCGGCCATGTAAATATGCTGCGACGTGTTTGCCGAAAACGCTCGTTTAGGCGACCTGGGAGAACGCTTCCTACATTCGTCTCGCACCATTCTGAAGAACGTTGTCTTTACCAAAAATCATATTGTTAAATAATTTTAATATAAAACTTAAATGTACCACCCAGTCAACTTGCCTTGGCATCGTCATCATGCGGTCTCTCTCCCTCTCTCTCTCTCTCTCTCGCTCTCTCTCTCTCTCTTTTCTCTTTGCTCTCTCTCTCTCTCTCTCTCTCTCTCTCTCTATATATATATATATTAGTATATATATATATATAATTATATAGACTTAGCCATATATGACCAGCTGATACAGCATTTATTACGACTTGTAAGGTATCATTATATCAACACACCGCCGACAGGCGCTCCAAACGTATATCCGGCACCATGCGCATAGTAGAAGCCATCCCATTGTACCATTGAGCTTCTCTGAATCTCAATATCTAGACCACACAAACTGTGGGCCATGCCCCTGCCACCGACCCGAAGAAAAATCCATAAAGACTTAGCATGCTGTCATAGTGAATATGAGCTTGTCCTGGGGTAAGGGTCTCATGGAGAACAGAGAGCGTTCGCTGCCATAGCCTGTGTTAGTATAACACTTCCGCCCGATCCATGTATACCACCTTGCCTTCACTTCTGTTCATCCACGCCATCCTCGACCTTGTGAACTTCGTTAGTAACGCCAGGTGAACAATCCCTCCTTTCCCCACAGGATTTGTTTCATGGTCATTCGCCCGTCCCTTCTTCCGCCTCATGCCCCCCACACTCCGTGTCTAAGCGTCACGAAGCACCGTCTCTGCGCGACCGCTGTAACACCCCTGTCTTCTCCAAATGAGTTTCGGCCCCTGATAGCACACCAGCCCTGCCACTGAATTCCCACAATCCCCACGCCGCATAAATGTCCTTTTGATAACTGATGGCAGACATGGATCTTAAATACGCTGAGCAATCTCTTCTCATGTCTCTGACTGTTAGTGATCTCATAGGAAGACGCTGCTAACTTCGCTGTCCTTCTGTTCACTGCACGACATGTTGGGATCCTCCTCACGCTGCCCCTACCCGCCACCTCATGATCATCCGTCTGGTATTCCTGTGCCCGTCTGTCCCCTGCCCCGCGGTCCTCTCATGATTGCTCGGACTACACAGCCCATTCAGCTCAGCACTCCGGCCTGATGAACAGAGCTCCTCTTCCACGTGTTACACATCGATGAGCGTATTGCCTGGAGAGCGGTGTCTATAGATATTCAATGCGATGCTATTTCAAGCACCAGCTACGCAACTCGCAACTGCCATTCCTTAGCCATCTTTAATCGAAGTTTGAGTACTCTCCGATTTATAGCTCCTAATACCAGCCACTATAGTTAATCTCCGCCACAAGTCTCCTGGAACAAAAATATATGCGCGGCTGAAATACGACAAACTACAGTTAGCAATATGGAATAAGTTACCTCTCATAATATTACAATGCTGTGGCATTGTAATCTTAAATTACAATGTTTCATACTCAATTTTTTCATCAGATTCTTTAAGAACAAACTAGAGAAGCTTAGAGTACCTGATATGGCTCCACATAGGACGATCAAAGTAGAAATATTAGGCGCGAATGCACCACCTGCACAGGCGAATGCAGAGACGACATACGCTGCAATAACAGTTCTTTGTATTCCGAATCGACTGGCAATAACAGTTGCTAGAGGCGCTGAAATGTTAGCAAAACAGTGTCTCATCATGTCAGCGTAAAGACGAGCTATTCTATAGCATACGAAGGTGATGTGATAATAAGCTATCTTTATTACATTATCTTTCTGTTACTGCTATCTGTTTAATACGCAGCTGATCAGCTGATCGACAAACAATAATTTTTAAAGTATTTTTTTAATTATAACATGCAGTTATATATTTATTGCGCTAACACACTAACGTAGCCAGATTCTGTACTGACTGGTATATGCCACGGGCACTTTACATGCAAGGTCTTCTCCCTATTTCTTAAGAGAGGCGGTAGAAAAGCAAGGAGGCTGAGCGAGGGACAAATGAGGCAAGGGGAAGGACGGCTGGGGATGTTGCACCCTACAGGCTAGGGCGCTCTACTAATTATAAACACAGGTCTACTGATAATAATTTAATACAGAAATCTATGCTGAGATACCCCCTAACAATATTAAATGCATATTCATTACACCATATGAATCCTATGGTGAGATATTGCGCATGCGCTAACACACGAACGTAGCCTAATTGTGTACTGACTGGTATGTGCAGCGGGCACCTTACATGCAAGGTCTTCTTCCTATTTCTTAAGATAGGTTGACTGATGGAATGTTATCACATATATCCATGCTAGAATGCCTCCTCTCAATATTAAATGCATAACTTTCGCAAAATATTCTTCTTCTCGGGAGATATTGCGCATGCGCGAGCACCGTTTCAGGCGTGCAGTACGGACTAATGAAAAGTGCATATTATAGCTTGCTGAGGGAGAGAGGGTGGGAGAGTGAGGCAATGAGGCAGGAAAGATAGTTGAGGGGCGGTAGAAAAGCAAGGAGGCTGAGCGAAGGACAAGAGAGGCAAGGGGAAGGACGGCAGTGGATGAAGTAGGAGTTTTGTACCCTACAGGCTAGGGCGCTCTAGTAATTATAAACACAGGTCTACTGATAATAATTTATTACAGAAATCTATGCTGAGATAACGCCTAACCATAACACACTAACGTAGCCAGATTGTGTACTGACTTTGAAAAGTCTTCTTCCTATTTCTTAACAGAGGTTTACTGATGAAATGTTATGATATAAATCCATGCTAGAATACCCACTCTCCATGTTAAATGTATAACTTTCGCAAAATACTATTCTTCTCGGGAGATATTGCGCATGCGCGAGCACCGTTTCAGATTGTCCAAGAGTTTGATCATGTATTTAATGTTATTATTAATTGATTTTTACCTAGAGAAATCACAACAACCTTTTACAATGACACCTAGTACAACTCGTGGCGACGCAAGTTATATTGGTGTAGATGTTCTTACAATGTTCCAATGTTCCACGTACTCGCTTAGTCACTCACCTGAGAAGAAGGTCATCCCCGCATTGATAGAGCCAACCCAAGCCGTCTCTGATCTGTTTGTGCGGAAAGTCTCCATCCACGGTACATAGTAGATATTAAGCACTATAGCAAAACCGAGGGTGAGGATTTGGTTGATGGTCGCAGCGAACAGTACCAGCCAGGCCCAGCCGCGGTCTCTCTGAAATAGACGCGTTGCCATATCGATCTTCTTCTCTATATTCAGACTGTTGCTTATCGCAGCCTGACTACACAGCACCTGAAATCAGACTTCTACGAACGGTCGCCAGGTAGCATGTATTTATCAGGTTGATCACGTATACTGTGTACACACACGAGTGCACGTAATAAGCCGCCTGCAAATAACCAGTTATCAAGTCTGAAATCAAAACGCGTGTACATTACAAGGATTTCCACTCACAACAGGTTTGGTTTTTCCACTATTTGGCATGAGGTTAGCGCTTACGCCTATCGCTATAGAAGAACAGTTTTCAGTCTTCTACGAACGGTCGCCAGGTAGCCAAGTATGATATGTATTTATGTATATTGATTATACACACACGAGGGCATGTATAAGTCGCCTGCAAATAACCAGATAGCTATTCCGATATCAAAGTGCGTGGACATTTCAAGGATTTCCACTCACCACAGGTTTGGCTCTTCCACTATTTGGCATTAGGTCAGTGTTTACGCCTATCGCTATAGAGGAACAGTTTTCAGTGCCCTTGCCGAAATGGCTGGGATATGACAGCCTATCCTATGCGAAGCTAGATCGAGTCTGACAGACCATTTTAATAAATATTCGGAATGTGTCGTAGCACAGCCTGACTTCACTGCTCCTAAGATCAGCCTTCAATAGATGGTTGATCGTTAGCCAACAGCAATCATCATGCAAGTCCTTGCTGCGTCCGCATATCTGTACTATATGTATCAGTGTGTTAAATGTTCATAGGTAGGAATTTTTGGATTGGTGGATGACTGTAGATGTTCAGGTGGTATTCCCGTGCACTTGTCGTGTATATATAAGGTGTCACCCTAAAGTC